TTGTTGTAGAATAATGCACGGTTTGAGTTCAAATGCGTAGTAATATAATCACGAAGGCCGATAGGCCTGAGTGATTAATTACAAAGCATTTGAACGAAAAACGTGCATTATTATACAATAATGCACGAAGAATTAATATCTATTTCCATTCTAACACGTCAAGAAAAAATATAAGTATTATTATAAAGTTGGACTTTATGTTTGGCGGTTAAATTTGTTTTCGCCTCAGAGTTTCCAATAGAAACGTTCTTTAAAGGCCGTTCCAGTGGGTTGAAAAAAACTGTCGTTAAATCTACCGTGTGTAGAAACATTTTGAGAATAACGAATTTTGAAAACGTTGATAAAACTTTGTTTGTTTATTCTATTTCAGTCTATAATTTTCCAAGCGAAATACAAATAATTAAAAGTGAAATAAATGTAAAACTTAACTCGTCTGCGACGTTAAAATAGCGTACTTGATTTTGATTGTTTTGCACGTGCTGTTTGGCGCTACATTGTGACGTCACATAAACAACACTTTAAACGTCTGTACAGCGTTAACGACTGAATTAAAGATATTGGTGTTCGGATTTATTTTCTTAGTTAGACCATTTTCTATCATTCTAGATAGTTTTCACAACAAAATTCGACAAAAAAATGTTTTTATTTATCAGATTTTTCAAACAAAATGGCGCCCTCAATGTGAAAATACACAGGGAGATAATAAGAACGGCGAGTGCATTGTTGCAGAATAATGCACGCTTCGGGCCTTCTTTGTTTATATAGAAAAATTTCCGATAGTGTTAGAATTTGTAATTAATCACTCAGGCCTATCGGCCTTCGTGATTATATTACTACGCATTTGAACTCAAACCGTGCATTATTCTACAACAATGCACTCAGAATTGATATCTATTTCCTAATTCTAACACTATCGGAATTTTTTTCTATATAGACAAAGAAGGCCGGAAGCGTGCATTATTCTACAACAATGCACTCGCCGTTCTTATTATCTCCCTGTGTATTTTCACATTGAAGGCGCCATTTTGTTTAAAAATCTGATAAATTAAAACAATTTTTTTCGAATTTTGTTGTGAAAACTATCTAGAATGAAAGAAAATGGTCTAACTAAGAAAATTAATCCGAACACCAATATCTTTAATTCAGTCGTTAACGCTGTACAGACGTTTAAAGTGTTGTTTACGTGACGTCACAATGTAGCGCCAAACAGCACGTGCAAAACAATCAAATCAAGTTTGCTATTTAATGTCGCAAACGAGTTTAGTTTTACATTTATTTCACTTTTAATAATTTGTATTTCGCTTGGAAAATTATAAACTGAAATAAATAAACAAACAAAGTTGTATCAACGTTTTCAAAATTCGTTATTTTCAAAATGTTTCTACAAACGGTAGATTTAACAGTTTTTTTTTCAACCCACTGGAACGGCCTCTAAAGAACGTTTCTCTTGGAAACTCTGAGGCGAAAACAAATTCAACCACCAAACATAAAGTCCGACGTTATAATAAAAATTATATTTTTTCTTGACGTATTAGAATGGAAATAGATATCAATTCTTCGTGCATTATTGTATAATAATGCACGTTTTTCGTTCAAATGCTTTGTAATTAATCACTCAGGCCTATGGGCCTTCGTGATTATATTACTACGCATTTGAACTCAAACCGTGCATTATTCTACAACAATGCACTCAGAATTGATATCTATTTCCTAATTCTTTCACTCTTTTGTAGAATTATTTTTCAAGAATTTATAACTGGGAACATGTTTGTATTTCTGGGATTGTGTGTTGAAACGAAAGGGATAACATCATGGGCGGAAGTACGAGTGTCTTTACGATCAGTGGTCTTGATGGGTCCCTTAGATATAGCCTGCTCTATTCCATGTTGTATCACTACATCTGGATAATTCTGTTGTTTTAACTGTAATTTCAATTCTGTTAGACGCTTTTCTTGTAAGTCTTTATTTTTCACGATAGTAATAATTCTTGAAGCTTAATTGAATGGTATGTTAACTTTAGTATGCTTAGGATGACATGATCTAAAATCTAAATAGTTGTGTGTATCTGTAGGTTTACAGTATTTTAAAATATATTATATATATATATATATATATATATTATATATTATATATATATATATATATATATATATATATATATATATATATATATAACTATATATATATATATATATATATATATATATATATATATATATATATATATATATATATATATATATATGTGTGCGTGTGTGTATATATATACAAAATAGATAACCAAAACTAATGTGACAAGACAGACCAACTAAATTTATAAAAAGGAAACGTTAAGATATGTTCAAACCTTTCTATGTTTGCTTTTAGAAAAGTAAAAAGTCGAGCGTTGCCCCCGCCCAGCGGTGGCTCTTGTTATTTGTTTGGGTCGCCAGATCGTCAGACCAAACAAATAATTGTAGCGAATTTTCAGACCCAGATATGCTTATTTGCAAAAACCGAAAGTAGTCCGAACTCCTCGAGGCGGTTACTTCCCTTTAAAAGTACACTAACGCCCAAAAATTAAGGGGAGGTCAATGCAGCCATTAATTTTTAAGCTTTACCGGGGAAGAAAAAAGTGTTCCCGATTGATCGAAGATTTCCAATATTGTGTTATTCTTTACAGATATACATGCTTACATTATGCTCCATGATTATTTACATCAGTGTTAAACAACAGGTTAACCGTGAACAAAATATCTTGAAATTAGAAAGGATTACAAACCCTACTTTAGAATAATTTGGTTTTCTTCGAACTGTTATCTTATAACTTCCCCGTGGTCCAGGGGTTACACGCTCGTTTAGGAAGCTAGAGGTCTGGAGTTCAAATCACTGTTAAGGCAACTCTCTTTTTATGGGTTTATTTTTTTTTCTAAATCGTTTAAGCCAAATAAACATTGAATTGAATATCAGTGTTGCAATTAGCCTTGTGCGTGTGCGCGTACGTGTGAGTGCGTATTTGAAGTTGAATACTAACGTTTACTTTTTGTATTTTTTCGAAATCGTATTGACGATGTCTATGATAGGTGTACAACTGTTTGAAAATACTATAAAAGTCAAATTAAATATTTTAAATGAGAACATTTACATAAAAGCATTTATTTTTTTATTGATTGATACTGTTGTTTCACCAATTGCCTCTTATAGTTTTCAAAATAATACGACGTGGTCATGAGTATGATATTTACTATTTTCATGATAATACTTAACATACTCTATAAAAATAATTTCATCTTTCTATTGCATGCACTGATGATTGATATTTTTTGCAATACCATACATTTATGATGATTTATATAGAATTGGAACGCCGCTGATTATTTTGTAATAAAAACCCCTGTATTATATGTTTGTATTCACATGTATGTACTCACAGGCATTTGCCTTTTGTTCAATAAAATTATAACACAAAATTGTTTATAATCTCACAACCTTCACCTTTCTGACATTCTGAGACCCAAACAAATTCAGCTACTTTTGTGCTTTGATTCCGAATTGTTACACCCCTACCTGTAAATAGATCAATAAGAATGTTGCCATATGTAAATAGATCAATGTATTGTTACACCCCTACGTGTCAATAGATCAATAGGAACGTTGTCATATGTAACGCTTGATTAGTTTTAGTAATTTACTTGACTAAATAACCTAATCGACAGAAATATCGTTCGGTGTACATTTATTTCGTATCAATTAATTTTTTTTTCCGTCTATGAGCCTTTTCCCTTTTATATTATTATTTTTCAATTAATATGGTTAAACAACTTTTTCTTTTCTCTATGAAAGGGTTCTCACTCTTCTTATATCCGATCTTTGCTAGCCTACAATATGTAATGTGTTTACACATATTTAATGTTTTCTTAATTTTTGGAATGTATCATGTTATCAACGTTTGTGAACTGATGGCAAATAAAGATATTTTGACTTTGACTTGACTTTGACCAAAATTAATATTCTGTAAACATTGAAATATAAATTCGTCATCTATACTACGAATTCAGCCAAAAGTAATAAACCTGGTTCATTTTTAATTTGTAAGTATTCAATATTTTCAAATAACAATACTATATTTTCTCCAATGTATCTGTTAAAAAAACAGTCTATGCGTTATTTATTATAGAGTTAATACCTTTCTTAAACACATTTACAATAATTTTTCGCTAACGGATAGCATTCATACTCAGTAAGACGTCCTTCTATATATATTTTTTTCAACTTCTGATACTTGTTTTATTTTGGTTTAAGAATTCATATTTTGATTTTTTTTTTGCTCTACATAGTATGCCTTTTCTGCCTTGATAATCTAGATTTTTTTCTCTGCATTTTTTCTGTACTAGAGAAGTATTTACTGTTGTTTTTTTAATTTCCTTCCATGTTTAATACATTGCATCCATTTATCTTTAAATCGTTAATTTGCTCTATTTTTGTTATGCCTAGATTAAATTTAATATCATTACGATTATTTTTTTCTGTGTTTATTTTATCTTTCAAAATTTCTATTTTTTTTAAGTGTTTCTTCGTTTTCCATAAAAGTCTTTTCTTTTTTGGCAGCATATTTTATAGTTTGATTTCTAATTATCCCTTATATAATCTCCCACAATGTATCAGAGCCTTTGTTTATTTCAATAACTTCATAAATACTACTCTTTTTTTTTTGGGGGGGGGGGGATAATTTTCTTCATTTTACAGACTATAATTCATTTTTAAAGAAACAAAGACCCTTTTTCATTTCTGATATAAAACAAAAACTATTTTTATTTCTACAAGCGAATGATCTTTTTTTATAGCTGGGTTTTACTTTACAACTTTGCGTTATGTTTAAAAGTGTGTCTGATTTAAAAAAAAAAAGTCTAGTCTGCTTATGATAATTGAATTATTATTCCACAAGGTAACTTGATTCATTTAAACTTTTCGCTAACTGCTGAAAATTAGCCAATCACCGAGCATACTCTTTTTTTTATATACCCGACAGACAGTGCAGTAACGCAAGTGCCGGTGCATGTATACGATTTAACTGTGACACATTACGATAGTACGGTCTACAAACTATCATACAATAAAAACTTTGATGACCTGCATGTTTATACTAAATTACTTTAATATTTATTCACACTGAGGGGATGTCCTTGCGTAGATATTGCAGTTTCAGGAAGGATATAAACATACTTTGTTTCGTCTTATTTATAATAGGAGTATGGGTTTTCAGGGATTTGACACAAGAAATTCCGCTGGATAAAGGTAATATAACTATAACATATTATTGATAGTTTTTAAAGAAATATACAGAATGTAAAATAAAATGCTATAAAAGAAGACCTAGTCTGATATATAAAATAGGAAATATTATTTCAGCGTTTTTTGTTATGTTTTTGTTGTTGTTTTTTTGTGTGTGTTTTTTTGTGTGTTTTTAAAAGCCCTCAATTAAGACTGCCCTTGGGACTGGACCAAAGTAGTCTTAATTGCGGGATGGTCTTAATTGTGGATATTATCATTGCTTACATACTTTATGACTATGGTCTATTTAAGTCATTTTGTATGAACAAACAATAAGTATCTTAACCTACAAATACAATATATGTTATAATATTTAATCAGATGGGAGCAAAACATTTTTCTGAAATAATTTAATATTTAATTCTCATTGGTCTTATTTCAAAATTAATTATCATATATGTACATATTTCACCTATCATATAAGAAATTTATTCTTTGCAAAATAAATTTGCTGAAAGCACTATTAAACCACATTAACTCTAAAATTTACTTTCACACCATATTTCATACAATAACCTTATAAAAACATTTTTGACACCTTGTTATGTTAAGTGTCATGCCTAAGAGCATTCAAGCAGATAATAACTACAAATATATGATTTTGGTAGGTGTTTACTTCTCAATAGTGAGTTCAAATAAATAATAAATCAAAGTCTTCGGTAACCGGGTAGGTCTTAATTCTGGAGCATAAAGCTATTGTCATAGAGAACAAAAAACTCCGTTCTTTTAAAAAATGGTCTAAATAGCGGGGTGGTCTTAAATCTGAGTTGGTCTTAAGTAGGGATTCCAATGTATTTGATTAAATATATAAGTTTAAAATGTATACATGTTTATATTTATATCTTTATGAAATGTGGAAAAGACAAGTTATATTCTACTCAATTATACCCAATTATTATACTAGCAACAACTTTCGGTATTAATCATATACACACTAACTACCCTCTTTGAAGACTACCAACGGGCCAAATTCAAATTGGTAATGTGTAAATGTTTGAATTTGCACGTTCCAAATAAGGTTTTAATACGCAAAAATATCTTGTTCAAGCGCATTTTATTTGCAAACTTGTACTTCAAGCATTTTTATTTTTGAGTAAACTATAAAATGCGAAAGGGTTCAGCGAAGATCATATTTATGAGTCATAGATATTTCCTTACTGTGTTATTAACTTATTTCACTTTTCATTTTCGCTTTATAAAATGTTTTATATGGCTTTGACATGTTTCGGTTTTTTTAATTCAGCTGTCGATTGTTATCATTCTTGGTACGACCACTTCATACCCCTCCTTCTTTTTGTTGAGTACCCTACTGAATGCCTTTGTGATTGTCCAGTGTGACTTGATTTTATCGGCTTTCTCGGAATGCTGCTCTGCATTGTATATCTTTGTAATTATATTTTTTCTAGTTTCACAACCGTTATACATATGCGTATTTCTCAATTCATTAATGAAAAAGCATTATGGAATATAATGATAAGTTATCAAAATTGCTTAACCAAAGTTGCAAGAAGAAGAAAAACAAAAATTAGAAACGAAATTAATGAATACTTCAGTTGAAAAACATGGCATTATAAATAAAACTTTCAGCTTTTGAAGAATAACAAAACAATAACATGAAAATTGCAGACTCGGTTTGATTGAGTCTGTACATGAGAGATAATGAAAAAGTGCAAAATTTCTCACGTCCCACCGGCTTTAGCGGTACTCAATTTTCGACACTTTAAGTGCTGGGAAGGACCAGAAAAATATAATAACACTGAAGTGAAGTACTGGACAACTTTTCTGACAGCTGCGGCAAGTGACACCTGCTGTTGTGTACTATAAAAATCTGGACCAAAAAAAAAATGAATATTTATTTCATCCGCTTGCCAGCAGTGCCCGGGCTATACCTCACTTGAAAACTTCAACATTTACCAACTCTTAATCTCGCACTAATACAAAACAAATAATCCTTAGATATTTTTAACACGGATACGTAACTTATAATATTCAAATAAAATAAATTAAGTGATACAAAATGTACTTCCCTAACATTTCACGGAATTTACTTAAAATTACAACCAGAATCTACAAATTTAAGCGTTTTGTATTTGATTATTATGGCACTAAATACCAAAAATACTGTAATATTAGGAATAATTAGTTCACCAAAAGATAGGTCTAGCCATTTTATATCTTCAATAACTTCGACAAATCAGAAGTAAGGAAGGTAAAACCTAAAACCGAGTGTGTCATAAATACTACCTTAAGGAATGTATATATTAAAGAAAATATCAACATAAACCCACTTACCTGAAGAAAATACGAGCGAGTATTTATTACTCCGTAGCCATTTTGTCAAGTTTGCAATCAATTTTCTCGCTTGGACCAAGTGTGCAACCACTTCACGTCCTGCGCCTTGATATAATCTTGCTACAAATTTATTAGCAGTCAACTAAAATATGGTGTTATACTGACAAATAATGTTATTTACGACTTCCTATAATAGAACAGACACAACAAACAATGAATTATTAGTAAACCTAATCTTTACAAAAAAAATATATATATATTACATTTGTATACACACCTGTGTGTAATTGCTTTTCAACTTTATTAAAATAGATTATAGTGTAATAATAAGAAAATTCTATCAATATAGCCACTACATCATACCAAGGCGTTTTTTATATTTTAAGTCCAGTAAAAGTTAAATATAAACAATTTAATATGGATATTTTTGTATAAGACCATTTTGCAACAAAGTTATTCAAATTATCAAAATTTGTTCAGGATATTTCCTCATATTAGATTTTATTGACTACAAAGTAAGTAGGAAACTTGCAGCATCTGCAATATCTATCAGTATTTGCCTGAATGACATTATCTAAGGGGAAATCTATATCAAAAATCATAATGTCATCATTATAGTGATGAAACTCAAACAGCATCATCTGAGGGAGGGGATAAAGTGCATGCTGAGGGAGGGGATAGAGTGCATGCTGAGGGAGGGGATAGAGTGCATGCTGAGACTCTAGTTGACGGCAGTAATACTCATCCTGTTATAACAGAACCACTTATTAACTTTAACCAAAATAATTATTTTACATAGGGTTTTCAAGTAGTTATTCTCTTTCTTTTCATCAGTCCTTTAACTACTTGTGTAAACAACACATGTATATACATTGTATCAAAGTTTTGTCGAAACCTACACTTAACAATTAGTTGGCCTTCTGATTTAAAAGTTTACTATAAACCCTACAAAAATATTTAAAACTTGGACAAATGTAATTTTTCTCAAACTTATTTCTATTTAAATAAAAACATGACTAATGAATTTAGAAAGCAATATCTGGAAGGTATGTTAATAATCAAATGTTCAGAACTTAAGACGTAATGCCAGCTTCCCTAGTCAGAAAGCTTCAAACTTATTTTTGTTATAAGTACTTTGATCATTACCTTCTGACCTGTTTTGTGTCCTTTTTAGATAGATCTGGCTGTCTCTCTTGTCCAACCATAATCTTTATTGTCTAAGGCCTCGCACATCAGCTTTATAATAACGTAAATCATTTGCCGAACAGAAGCACATAAAGAAAAATTGTCAGACTGGAACCCAGGCTAGCGTGCGCTTCAATGTGTATTAACAAGTTCAAATACGATGTACATGTATTTACCTATTTTTAACCTAACATGTGTTATGTCATTGGATATCATGTAGGACCCGGTCTTGTAAAATACACGCATTTAAACAATGGAAACGATTTGTAAACGAGATAATGTCGATTAAATTTATATGGCAATTTTCCCAACGTTTTTAATAAAATATCATGTGCAGACACTATTAAAACTTATTTCTTTACAAACTTACGATTGTACTTTTTAAAAAATTAGTAAAGTATAATTTAAAGAAAACATTCCTCATATAATACACCAAATGTACGCGGACGACATGATTCCGGAAATGTACATTAATCATGTGAGGTCATTTATACAAAATAATCAGTAGTGTGAAGTTGGCTGCCTGGCGGCGCGAAGTTCCGGCCAGCGGCCCAAGCGTTGGCGGCCCAGCGGCTGGCGGCCTAAAGTTGGCGGCCCAGCGGCCCAGCGGCTGGCGGCCAAAATTTTAATGTTGCAGAAATGTCATTCATGTCGCCAGCCGCTGGGCCGCCCGGCCGTCAACTTCACACCGTCAACCGCCGGGTCGCTGGCCGCCAACTTCATGCCTACCAGAATGAACCACGGGTCTTCCCAAGTTAAAGGAAAACAACGGAGCAGTAATTCTCTATATATCAATAAATGAGAGTTAAAAGAGACCGACAAACTGCTGTTTACGTTTCTGATTCGCTATACTTCATGGATAATTTAGATCTTGTTCTATAACTGAAAATAGTGAAATTTATTCAACTCTGTTGACAGACTAAAAATCCTTTTGACAAAGTACATATGAGCATTCTCGGAACAAAAACAAAAGAGCATAAAAAGTTTGTATCATAATGAGTAAAAGCACGATAAGTAATCTCAAAGAGATAAATATTAGCAGTATAGTTCTGAAAGTTATAACTGACACACAGGCATGCTGGCTCTAGTCGTAACACACGTGAAATCTGAAATTGTTGACTTAAATTGTGATTTCTTGAAAATATTAGACATTGTCAAATTATTATTAAAATCTATAAATATCAGCTGCTACTCACATATTCTGTATCTACTAGATTTTTGTTTGGGCAGTTTTTCTATCATAATTTAATCAAAATTGCTTTTTGCTTTGAAGCTTTTCCGCTTGGCAAAAAAAAAACAACAAAAAAAAACAAAAACAAAAACAACAACAACAACAAGTATCCATAAAAAAAGATACTCGGCCGAACTAAAACTGGTTATTTGCATTGCGTATGTTTGGAAACACTTAAATAGAATCATAAGGATTATAAGTGATATTGAGCCTATTATTGAATTTAACCTCTAATTTTTTTGAAATATTACATACA